GGTTTTAGTCTTTCCTTGCCTTTATGAAAGAAATAAGTCCAGATCATAGATGAATTCTCTAAAAATTTCAGGAATTAACACATTGGAGTACTCGCAGTACAGCATTGAAGAATACATTCCCAAAGACATGTCCTGTCAGGAGAAACAGACAAATTGGCATCTTTCCAGCTTCCTTCCCCAAAACTGGGGCTTCTGCATTTTACCACACGCTTTAGAAAGTCAACCCACGAGTCCTGGACTAGGATCAAAAATATTCCCCATGAATTTGTAGATATAAGGATTACACCTGATTTCGAAAACAGAATGACACAGGGGAGGCTGAGGGGTGTAAAAAATAATGCTATTACATATATCTCAGTGTGTTTTGCCTGTATTTCAGTCAGACACTGTCATGTAAAACGTGTGCTTCCTTTCGAACAAAAGGTCTAATGCGACGCTTCATGCGGTTATTTTGGGTTGCAGGCAAAGGAGATGCAGCAGATGGTGAAGCTGGAAGCAGAGATGGATCGCAGGCCAGCAACAGTGGTCTGAAGCCTCAACAAGCAAACTGAAGTTGGAGAACACAGCATCCTTTTAAAATGAGAGCAAAATTCAAAATAACGTTGCTGAGGTTGAAAAGTGGGCTTTTTCTTTTTTTTTTAATTTTCTTTTTGTTTTGTTTTGTTTTTAGAAGGGGGTTGTTTTGGTTTTTTTGTTTTTAATATGTAAAGTGTAGCTACGGACCACCAAGTCTTAAGATTTGCATTATTTCCTTTTTTTTTTTTTTTTTTTTTTTAACACTGGGCACTGAATTTCCTTTGTTGGATTTCCGTAAGAACCTCCTTTGTTCAGAAAAAACCCCAACCTGAAGATGTTCCTTCCCGTGTCTCATCAGGCAGCTTGCCTGCACCAGAATTACACAATCAGAGCCTCGAAACACAGCAGATACTTTTAACATCATCTCAGATGGCAGCAAAACTGTAATCGAGTCATGCTATTTACCATTTCAGTGACAGGTTGTGTAGAAACCCCCCTGCTGCCAGCTCCCGACAAGCAGCCGCTCGTCAGATGCTCGACACCTCGTGTCACCGCGCCTGCCGACCCAGATCTTATGCCAGGTCACCCTAATAATCAGCAGAGTAAGGAGCTGAGTCGGGGTGATTATAAATTATATTCCAAGGTATTTTCCAAGCAGCAGGCAGTCGAAAGGTAACTGCGGGTATTCAGAAGTACAGGTATGTACAAAGTCATCGGCCAAATTCATCCGCTGCAACAGTAACTTGACAGGATGTTGCTGCAGCCTAATGATGTCATTCACAAGTGCCATATCAACTCTGTCATAATGTCTGAAAGGAGCCCATATCCTGTAGAAGTTGCTGCAGTGGATAACCTGAGGGAAATACAGTGTATTTGTGCCAAAACTGATCAGTGCTCTAAGGAATTACATATTAGGCACTTTAAGAAAAGTTTACATCCTACATTGCTTGTATAGAAATTGCGTTTTGATCCTGTTGCTGCAGATCCCAGATACTACAGTTCATTGTAACTTAAAAGATTGTTTAAATGGCTTTTGGCAAAAAGTTTGTAACTGTGAAAATGTAAAAAGTATTTATACACTTGGGAATCACAACATTGTAGAAAATCACATACATGTTGCCACGTGATAAAAATTAGTAAACAGAAATGCTAAGAGTATGTTTGCATGTGATACAAATGCTACTAAGACTGTAATGCCTACTATATGACCACAGTCATGCTACTAGCTGGTAAATACTGAGTAAATGTATGGCACAGAATATTGTTTGATTAATTACAAAGACTTTTAGCATTACAAGGTCTCTATATATATGTGTGTATATTAATTACGTGGGCATTCTTGATACTTGTAGTAAAAGAAAAGTACATAACTAATTTAATTTTACACAGAAGTATTTATGCAGATTTTCAGAATTTCATATCAGGAATAACCTTTTTATGTCCATTAGATATAAAAAAACCAATTTGCTAATGTGTTAATTTGCATGTTTCCAGAGCTTGCTGTAGTTATATTGCAAAACAATGCATGTAAGCATTCCGCTTGGAATTTGTCCATGCTGCCAATTCAAAGATGACTGCATGGAAAACTGGTAGTTTAGAACAAATCAGATTCCTGATTTCAATGTACTAAGCACCAATTACTTTGTTGTATATGCTTGTACAAACAAATTCTACATATTCCTATAAACAAAATAAATGAAAAGAGATAATTATGTTATTGTCAGTCCTGAGATGAAACTTTCAACTTCTCTAATAAAAACCTTAAAAATTCAAATCCTTTAGTTTTGACTGTAGTGAATTGCAGGGCAGTGGTGTTACTAACTGCAAGTTTTTAGCAAGTTGTATTTCCTGTAAAAATGTGCATAGTGTAAATATATTTCTATCACAGCTTATTTAGTCAAAGAAGTCTCTTTTTTTTTTTTTTTTTTTTAAATTTTACTGAAGTGATAGAAGCATTGTGCAGCATTGGTCCTGGCAGCACTAGAGGTCTACCCCAGTACAGTGTAGCAGCACTGCCTGGAGATGCAGCAGCCCGAGTCAAGTGTAGCAGCACAGCTTTGAGAATGCAGCTGAGACAGAGGTCAGTGAGTCTTGAGGGGTTTAAAGCAGGGTTTAAACAAACTTGTGATGCGTATTCAGAATTCCCACTCTGATGCCACAACCTAGGGAGGCATCTCCTGCTCCTTATGATGTTTTAAAAGACAAGTTGTGTACTGGGAGCAGCTCTCCCTGCTGCCTAAGCCGATCTCAAGTGCTGGATGGAGCTGGGAGCAGCAGCATTTACAGACCATTCCGGACAGGACCTGTAATTTCAGGGCATCTTTTTTTTTATTCTGATTTTTCTTTAATTTAAAATGTCTTCTAAAACACAGCTGTTGGAGACAGTGCTGAGAGCTGGAATTTTATACTGTTGCCTACCACAGTGGTTTCTAGCCAGAAAAGAGAAGCAAATAACAGACCAGACACAGAGGGAACTTGAATGGTGAAGCATCTTAGGCTCACTTACAGCCTGGCTGGAAAACACTGCCCTACCTGATAAAGAAATAACTGGAAATGGAGGGCTTGGGTTCAGCTCACATCCCTCTCTGAAAAAAAATCAAACCTGCCTGTCTTAATTCCCTGGCGAGTGTCCTATCCATCAGGGGGAAACACAGCTTTTGGAAGGCTAGAAAATACTGTCCACAGCCCCTGTTTGAGTCTGTGCTCACTGCTCAGCCAGGAGCCAGACATTTGTCAAGTCAGAGAGAAAACGGGCTCCTGTGAAATCGCAGAGCAGGAAACCTCAGCTCCCAGGCTCAGCTCCCAGCACTGATGCCTATTTTATCCACTGACAATTTTGCATAAAACGCAGGCAGTAATTTGAAATTAAGTGATGAATTTTGTCAGCTAAGTATTTTGAAATGCAGTTTAAGTTGTATTTGATTCAGAAATTATTTGAAGTTTGGCCGCTAATGTAATGAGGTGAGAATTTCCACTGAGATGAAATAGGCTAATCAATTTGAACATTGATACCGAGTTAAAGCAGTTTAAAATGTCATTCCCTGCCGGGGTGATGGATTCCACTTCAGTGAAATCTCATCGAGGGAAGTGGCAGATTCTCCCTCTCTGAATCTCTTCAGATAAATTCCGCTCTGCTGTGATGGGAAGGGTCATGACACCCTGGCCTCACAGGCAGCCTGCTATTCTTTCACCTCCAATAATTTGGGGGTTGGTCACTGTTTCCAGATGGGGGTCTGTTTAACACCTGCACCACCTGAGTGCAGTTAAACTGCATCACTAAAGACCCAAAAATACCCCTCAGGGGGCTGATTTCCTTGTAGACTGTGCATGCTGTTGCCCACGGGCTGCCTGTGAAACCGGCTGCAAAGTGGCAGGCACGTCCCAGAGGAGCCAATCGGCCAGAAAACCCTGTTCCTGCTGGATGTGCCAGCAGTGGTTCCAGGGCTGCGGCCCCGCTGTCACCGCGCTGTGTGCTCCCCCCAACGAGGCTGGTAAGAGTTACTGCTGCCTGGTAATTGGAGGGTAGTTGGGGGATTCAACCTTCAGAGACATCCCCAGCTGTGGAGACTGCTTGGGTAAGGGCAAGTTGCATGTCTGGTTCCAGGTGATGCAGTCTGTGACCGTAAATTGGCCCCGGTCACAGCATTTCAGGACAGGAAACGCTGCACTAGCTCCCTCAGGTGAGACCTTTCTGCTCTGGCCGTGTTTTGGGGCTTATTTGGCTTTAGGAAATCTTAGGCCTTTCCCTATTTTGCCACAGAGAACAGGGTAAACGTGCCTCTGGAGGCTGGAAGTGGCGATTGTCCCTGGAGCTGGAGGGTTTTTTGTTGTGCTGTGCAGCTGGCGGGTGCCGGGAGAGCCGCGGTGCTGTGCCGTGGGTCAGGCTTGCCTGTGCCTCCAGCACAGCTGCTCTCTCCCAGCTGCTCCCCGTGGTACCCTCCTACACAGCCTGGATGCAGGGGGCAGCTGCTCAGAATCGTGCATTGGGAGGCTTAGGAGCTACCTAGAAACCTCAAAAAGCCTGGAAATTAAATAGGGGACTAGGGGAGGAAAGAGAAGGTAGTTAAATACTGGGCTCATCGGTGAAGAAACTGAGGGAGCCAGGCACTGCAGTTGCCACAGAAATATAGTTTGTTACAGTCAAAGAGCCTAGTATAGGAGATTATATTTTTTTCCTTTATAGAGTCCCTTGAACTTATTATCTATAGGTTAAACCTTTATTACAACCAACACAGGTCTGACTCTGTTGGGGCGGGGGGCAGGATTGACTCTTTGTCATGAAACAGGAGAGAGAGGAAATGGTCAGAATATATTTAATATGTACAGCAAGCAGAAAAGGAATTTCAACATTATAGTTACAAAAATCAATATGTTCCTTCAGTACCTGCTTTTATTTTTAAAGAGCTATTTCCCAGCAAGAAAGCCCCTATCTGCAGGTGCGTGCCCTGGCAGAGAAAGGGCAGCTGCCCACAATCAAAACTCACCTTGCAGTACCTTGCCTCGCAAAACCCTGGACCGTTTCCTCCAGATGCCTTTTCCCGAACTAGAAATGTGAATTGCTGAATCCACCACACACTCCGAATAGCTGCTGTCCCTTTCTTTGGCTTTTAACCAAAAAAAACCATCCTCGGTGTAGAGTTTGCTGCTCCTGGGACCGGTGTCGCTGTAAATGGTAAATAATCGGATGTGCTCCTGGTCCCGAGGCGAGGGTGGCAGCGCGCTAAAGCTCCAAAAGAAGCTCCTGATGAGAGATGAGGGGAAAAAATAATATTTCACCGTCGCATCAGGCGGTGAAAGGGAGAGCGGGGAAGCCCCGGAGCGGCCTCCAGCCACCGCCTCGCACCCCCGGGCGGGGATCTGCAGCTCACCTGGTGCCCCTGCAGACCCCTCTGCCGACAGCCCAGGGGTCCTGTCCAGCCCCTGCCCCTGTGCTCGCAGGGAGGGAAGGCAAGCTCCGTTTGACGAGCAATTGAGGGGCCCCAACAGCACCGCACACCCAGGGCGGGGGGCGGGCAGCCCTCCCTGCCCAGGGAGGGGGTGCGCTGTTATCACCCCGCCTCGCAGCCCCTTCTCCCCTCAGCGCCGGGCAGGGACAAACCGCTGCGAGCCCCGGTACAGCCGGCACTGTCCCCCCCCCTCTGAGGCGCACCCCGGGTGTCACCTCCTCCCTGCTCCCCCAAAACGCCCCGCAAAGGCACGGCCGGTGTTGGTTTTTGTTCTGATGCACCTTTCTCGGGACTGTCGGGACCTACGGGATGGTATGTTTTATGTTACTGTACGTGTTACGGTTTGTCGCGACGTCTTAGAGCTCAGGTGTGTCTCCCGCTCACAAAAGGCTGCGGGTTTGCTCCTGACCTTGCCACACAAAAATAGCTGCACGTTTCTTTCTAAATTAACACGCGAAGCAGCTGTTCGGCTTCACCGAAATTAGTGACGCTCCGTGAGCAGCCGGCTGGACTAGATATCCCCTCCTCCATCCCCCCTGCTCCGCCGGCCTCTCCGGCGGGGATCGCCGGCCGGGCCCTGGGGCTGGGGGCCCTGGCCCTGCTCCCACCGCCGGCCGTGCCCGGGGAGCGGGGAGCGCTGGGCTCCAGCCGCACGTCGGGGCGGCCCCAGGTCCCCGCGGGGATCCCCGGCGGCCCCTCCGCGGGGTCCCCACCGCCCGAGGGGGGGGAATCCCTCCTCCCCTCCCGGCCGTGCGTACGCCCCGTCCCTCGGCGTGGGCGCCTCTATCAGCTCCGCCGGCATCTCCCCTCCTCCTCCTCCTCCTCCCCGCACACCCACACACTTTCCCCGTCCCTCCTCCCCGCCACTCCGCAGCAGAGTGCTTTTGCAGCCTGTGCGGCTCCTGAGAAAGGAGGTGTGCAGCTTTTTTTTTTTTTTTTTTTCCTCCTTTTTATTTATAATTTTTTCCCCTTTTCTCCGGAGCGGACCCTTAGGGAGGAGCAGCTGCAGTAGCCGCGGCCACGCCGGGACCGAGCAGGGAGGATGGCCGGGAGGCGCCTCCCGGGGCTGTTTCTCCTCTTGCGTGAGTACCGTGGCGGCGAGTCGCGACAGGGAGCCCTGTCGCGATGGGGCAGCCTCCGGCGCTGTTCGAACACCGGTTCTGCATCACCACCACCGGCTGCCCCATCTCTCTGTTGCGACAGCGGCGCCCCGTCGCGATAGAGGAGCTTATTCCATCGGGGTCGGGGTGCCGGGGGTGTTCAGGTGAGCCGGCAGAGGCTTGGGGCGAGGGTCCCATCGCTGCCGGGCTCAGCCCCTCTGTGCCCGCAGATGCCGCGGCTCGCCTGGCAGCCGAGCAAGAAGTTGAAAACCTCTCCGGGCTCTCCCCTAACCCCGAAAAGGACATCTTCGTGGTGCGGGAAAACCGGACGACGTGTCTCATGGCCGAATTCGCCGCCAAGTTCATCGTCCCCTACGACGTGTGGGCCAGCAACTACGTGGATGTGAGTGGGGGTCGGGGGCGGCGGGGCGGCCCGGGGGGCTCCCGGGGCTCCGGCAGGACCGGGGATGGCACGGGACACACACACATCCGCCGGTACTTTGGGAAAGTCCTCTATCCCCTCCGAGGATTTGCAGCCGGGGCACTGGGGGGCCGTGGGTTCCCAGGGAAAACCCAGGGCCGCCCCCCTAAGCCCCCGCTCCCCGTTTCCAGCTGATTACGGAGCAAGCCGATATCCCGCTGTCGCGGGGCGCCGAGATGAAGGGCAAGTGTGGCACTAACGAGTCGGAGCTGGAGCTCTCCTGGCTGGAGCAAGCGTACACCCTCAAACTCTTCTTCCTGAAGGTACGGGCTCCCCTGCACGCCCGGGAGCTGGGGAGGGGGCGCGGCGGCGTCGCAGGGTCCTGACCAGCCTTGTCTCGGCAGGAGGGGCACAACACGTCCCGAGGACCGGAGGCGTTCTGGAGGCTCAGCCGGATCCAGTTCACCTACGACACCTCCGAGCGCACCTACTTCAAGGACGCCGTGAGCCGTAAGCGCCCGGGGGACGGGGTTTAAGGCGGATCCCGGGGGTCTGGCGGGCACCCTGCGGGCTACTCGCCTAAGCACAGCTTAACGGGGAAGACCTAAACCCACCCGACAAAGCCGGGACCAGCTGCCGGGTTTAAACCGCGTGCTATTTTTTTTGCCTCCCACCCCCTTTTTATTGTGTTTAATAACCTCGGTTGCCGTGGGAGGGAGAGCCCAGCTCTGCCCGTGTGCTGAGCTGCCCCAGGCTCTCCGGTGGGACCCAGGGCCCGAGGCCACCTGGGCTGAAAAAGCTTGTCTCCTCCTTTCCTCTGGGAGATGTTTTTTAAGGTTAATTATTTCCTTGCTTCTGATGATGGTTGAATAGGTGGGAAGGCAGCAGTTTCCCAGGATAACTGTGAGACTGACATCAGTATCATACTCCTACACGCCTCTGCACCCAGCAGCCTCCTCTGTTCTCGCTGGGTTTCCATTCTTTCGGCTTTCATTTTGTTTTTATTTCGTTTCTGCTCAGAAATTAGTTGTCTTGTACCAAAAACTGAAATACTGTCACCTGCAAATCATTCTTCCTCAGAATTTTCAAACTCAAGTCAATAGCATGCTAAGAGTTCGTGCTGTAAGATACAGTAGATATGGGGCTGTTTTCCCACCGGTGTTTCTACTGTTTGAGTCCCCAAAACACGGTGGTGGCCATGCCTCATCAGCTTCTGCCAATGTGAAACACTGATTGCTTTTCTGTGCTGCTGGAGGGGAACAAAGGGCTGCAAAGAGTGGGAGGTGGAAGGCATCCCTCATTCCACCTTGCTGAGCTGCATTCGGCCTTCGTTTGTAAAACAAGCTGGATGGGAAAATATTGTGTTATAATTTATGCTCGGGTGGAATGGTCACGCTGTAGTTTCAGGAAAGGCATTACAGCCTGTTTTGCTTTGGAGCGTGGTCCCCAGATTGCACCGCTCCTTCCCACCTGAATCTTGAGCTCAAGCGCGGCCGCAGGAGTTGCCATTTCCCAAATGTGGGGAGTACGAGCACAGCCCCAGGCTGAAACTTGCATGTGTGTCAATAGAAGCCATTCCTCCAACTTTCACGGGCTTCAGGTCCTGCGACAGGAGCGCGGGCAGCGGTGCTGTAGGGGTGGCGGTGCTGTGGGAGCAGCAGTGCTGTAGGAGCAGCGGAGCGCGCGGGCGCCGCATTGCGCACCGGCTGCGCACCCGCGTGTTCAGTCCATTGCCTTTGTCACTAAAGTCACCTCGGGCCCCCGGAGAACGGGACCTGACCTCTTGTTTGTGTCCCTTTGGCCAGCCGGGAAGCACACAGCCAGCTCGCACCGGCTCTCGGCCCTGGTCACCCCGGCTGGGAAGTCCTACGAGTGCCAGGCCCAGCAGACCATCTCCCTCATCTCCAGCGACCACCAGAAGTCTGTGCAGCTCCTGCTGTCCGAAGTGCGGCTCCAGCCCTTCGACATCCCCGCGGATTTTGTCTTCAGTGAAGGTAAGGCGCAGGGCAAAGGCAAGTCCTGCGTCCCCAAGATGCTGATGTCGCTGCGGCCTTTGGGGATGTTGTAATGTACTGAAGGAATTTGTGTCCCACCTTTATCAGAGCACCTTCTCCTCACTCCAGCTCCCTTATCAGTGCTCCCTGCAGTCCCTCCAACCCATTCCCTGCCTCTGTGGCCCTCCAAAAACCTTTACAAATTCAGCCTAGCTGCTAAATTATGGGCTACCGTTGCATGTTCGTTGGCTTCAGTGAGGACTTGTAGAGCCAGGTTGCCAGCAAGCCCCAACTGCACAGTCTCTGGGGAGCACTGCAAGGCTTGGGTGTCTCCACTGCAGCTGCTTCAGCACAGCTCCAGGGGTTTTTTAGGGCTGCTGCACACTGAGGAAAACCTGGGGCTGTTGTGGCAGGAGATACTTGGGATGCACGTTGCTGGCTTCAGTTTGATTTATGGTCATTGTGAGGGTGAAGGAAGCGTAACAGGGACTTCAGTGAGGCGCCTCATGTGCCAAACACACAGGATATTGTTATTCTTCTTGGGTTTCTCTAAAGGTAATGGTGGGTAAAAGAAAATGTAAGTCAAGCATGCTGGTTGTATCAAAGGGTTGTACTGGAGACGGCAGCAATACTGCCACGGGGCAGAATTCCTGCAGTTTTGCCTGCCTTTATCCTGAGGAACCCATGGTGCTCCTCCTCCCTGACTCCTCGTTGGCTCTTCCATCAGGTTGAGTGAGGGAATGCTCACCTGGGTTAGGTGAGACTAGTCCCTGTTTTATAGCACTACCTTATCAAATTAGTTAAGTCCATTAGTGTAACAAGGTGCAAATAAAATGTGTAATAGCCAAATCTTTTAATGACGAGCTGGAAAATGGTGGTGTTATTTTCAAGCCTAGCATTAAAAACGTGGGGCTTTATTATTTTGCACGTGGGAAATATTTTAGCACACAATAAAAACCCAGCAGTGACTGCAGAGCCGAGCACTTGCACTCATGACTCGCCTCCTCTCGCCGATGGAGTAAATCCATGCTCTTACGTGTGCTGGCTCTGGCAGAGCTCTGCGTGGCTGAATTACTCATGGCAAGGCCAGTGTAGTATGGAATAGGTTTTATATGTGGGCAGGCGCTGGAGGCTGAGAAAAGCACATTTAAAATATGCAAGTCTGGACTCTGTTTGAGCTGCTGCGTCTCTGTGATATCAAACTAGAGGAGTCTGAGAGCTCCCAGTTAAAACAATGGAACTCGGGGCTCATTGCCAAAGGAATCTACCTGCCGTTGGCATGATATGCTCTTTCCCGTCAGGCAGTAAATTTGTTTCTTTTTCTTTCTTTTTCCTTTGTTGCTGTAGTTTGTTTCCTTTTCTCCAGGACACAAAGAGACCCCGGTTGGTTTAGCATTCTTTAAATATGTGTGGGCAATTCCTCCTCCGGAGGAAAGCGTAGCTTCTCTCTTTATCAAGCCTTGTTTTTCTGTTGTTGCTTCTCTCCCTATTCAATTACCTTTCCTTTT